GGTTGCTTTCAACCGCTCAAGTGGTATCACGGCAAGACGCTTGAGTACGCCTCTCGTACAGGCTCGCGCGACGTTAACAAGGCCGACTTTATAGCTATAATAGAGATCCAGTGCTTAACGTTTATAAAGTCTACAATCTGCTCAGGTTGGCGCCGTACAGATATAATGCTGTACAAACCTGACATCGTGTTAGCGCATCTTCGCACCCAAGAAGGTTGCTACTCTAGCAATAGTGACCGCTCGGCTACACCACCACTACCGCTTATATAGCGCGCCAGTACATCTCTTGATATATCCTCGCCGCCTCCACTCATCTCATCGCCATTTCGAGCGCCTGTGCGACGCTTCCACCGCGTTAAAATCGACCTCAAGACGGCATAGCTAGTGCGGCGACCTCAACCACAAGGTACAACACCAAAACCTAAGGATCCTAAGCCTGGCGACGCTACTTGGCATACACCAAAAACAGTACGACAGATTGAGTTACAAGAGCCCTTTGTTCGCGCCGTAATCTATTAGTACCTCCCCCGTTAGGTCGCGGCTAATGTAATCCGTCACCTTCGTAGCGTCTCAGCTCTTGCCCGCAACGTCGAGGGCTTTAAGCGTGAGCTGCACAGAACTAAGGCTGCTATCCTTGCTAAGGAGGAGTGAAGACGTCGTAAGAAGCAGATTGTAGAGAGCAAAGGTGGCGTAATATACGCCGAAGACGCGCGGCAGATGGTGCAGCAGCGCCAGGTTAATGACCTTACTCGTCTTAAGGTGGAGATAGCTACGAAACGACTTCGTGAGGCTACAATTATTTTCAATAAATGGAGACGTATATTCTTAACTATACGGAACTTTGGCTACAAATATACTAAGGGTATAGCGGGCGGTATCACAAGGCAGCGGGATATTGCGCGCTGGCAACACATGAACGCTAACGATAATAACTACAACACTAAGGCCTTAATAAAGTGGGACTGGATACTTCAAGATAGCAGCTCTAGGTATCGTGAGGGCGCTATAACAACAGACCGTACGCTAGCTATGTAGGTGGCGTATAATGTTCGTCAACTTGTCGATCCATATACGAAACTCACGAGCCACAATCTCACTGCAGCTTCACCATCCACCACGCTATCACAGGACCTAGAACACTTTACTCAGTATACTCAAGAAGATTGCGCAAAATCTACTTCTACAGAATCTTATATTAATGTTGATACTACTATCAAAAAGGCCTACAAAGCTATGGTGGATAGTAAAATCGGTACAAGCAATAGCGACGACAGCGACGATAACAGCTACTACAATAGTCCAATTTCGATAACATCTGACTAGGGTAGGGTTAGGGTTAGAATATAAGCGACCGCATTAATTAGCTGGCCGCTGCTGCGCCCCACAGCCACGGACACATCTAAGCACGCTACTGCAGTGTACTGTACTGCGTGCCAAGAAGGGCTAAAGCTTTTCACCCTGTAAGGTGAGTCTTGGCGTTAATGTTTTACGCTCGGAGTGAGTGAGTGAGTGAGTTGTATTTAACGTCTATATATAAAGCCTCCCTTGGGGCATGTAGACGAGCTATGCCTATGGCTTGCCGTACTATGCCTAGGATGCCTATTCTTATTTACATGAGTATAGTGATCTAGTAGTGGTCGTTCCGCCTGTTGATCGCCACTAAAATAATTGTGCAGTAGGTGTGTATCCGCCTTTAGTTATCGTAGCTAATGCTTACTAAGGAGTGTGTAGTATATTATTATTATTCCATTATAGTCCTGTATCAGCCTGTGGCTATGTAAGACTTTGGCCGAAGGCTGTTCTATGGGATTTATTTACAATTGGGGAGTTTCAATGGGGTAGTGTGGCTATGGTGCGTCGGCCTTTTATCTAGTTAAGCTATTGCTAGCTTTCTAGATGCCTGGTGCCAATAGCTTAGCTAGATAAAGGCCGAAGCACCCTAGCTACACTCTACAGCAGAAACTTCCAAATTGTAAAAGAACTAGATAGAACGGCCTTTGGCCAAAGTCCTACATAGCCAACGGCTAATACAGAACTATAATGGAATATATATATATATATATATATA